AGCCAACCGCTTATAAATGTTAGGTTCTTGGTGCTATTGTCATAAACGAAATGGAAGTAATTAAAGTCATTATATTTTCAAAAGGACGCTTCTACAGGGACCTCAAATAGGGGACACTTCCCCTCCGGTTGGATGATGCACAGTTGATGCACTGTTTATGAACAGTGCATCATCCAATCGGAGGGGGTAGCTCATCTGTCCCCTCTTTGGGGGACCCCTCCGGTTGGATGATGTACTGTTTATGAACAGTGCATCATCTAACCGGAGGGGCAGTTCATTTGTCCCCACTTTGAGTCCTCTATTTAGGGTTCCCGATGCATTAATCTTTTCAGAATTAGATTGTCCTGATAGAAATAATTCTGAAGAACTGTCATAATTAATGGCATTAATTGCTAACTTGGAATTTGCATGTGAAGGAGTAACTACACCTGTATTTATGGTTGGCACAAAGTCACCAACATTCAAAGCAAGTTTGTTCACTTAAATAAGACTTTGATATTATTTAATAATAATAAAAAAGAAAAAACTAGATAAGTTGCCAACCAAATTTTTCACGTTTTGAACATTTCAACTTTAACCTCTAAATACTAGTTTGGTATTGTTTTTTAGAAGGTGCTTCTGCTTTTTTTTAGAGAAGCAGTTAATAATAGTGTTTTGTTAAAAAAAAAATTGGCATACTTATTGAAGTTATTTCTCCTTTTAAATGAGTACTTTTAGAAGCAACCTCAAAATACTTTTCAAAAGTATTTTTTGCTTTTTTAGTTCGCATACGATGTATGACCTTTATCTTTTGACAATGATCTTTAAGCACAATTTCTTCAGACAACTAAACTGTTTTTGGAAGCGGCTTTTGATATATAATTACTAAACAACAACTTTCCGCACCTTTTATAAATTGCTTTTATAAACTACTTATACAAGTAACCTATTATAAGTTCTAGCAATATCAAGCTGACTCCTAATGCCCCTCTACTCCTCACCTCTTGGTTTACTTTGTCTAAATGTCGTTTTGTGATGCATTTGTTTATCAAGTTTACAATCACTAGTTAAATACCAGTAAAAAAACGGAAATTTAGAGTAAGCATATAGGAAAAAAGACGGAAATTAAGAGTAAAAGCGTTGTAGCTGGAAAAAGAGAGGGAAAATACAAAGGCCCCTATAAAACTTATGGAATCTTTAATTATGTAATTTTGAGCGTCCCTTTAAATTAAATCCTCTGGCCTAGAGCTAACAAAACATTAGGGCGACCCAATTAGCAATCTTAACTTCTAGAGGGACTAGTCGAAAATTATACTGCACTAGAAATTAAAAAAAGAAAAAGCACATAAAATAGCAGCCCGCCATTAAAAGACCCTTGAGCAATTTAAAACGGGAAAACGCCGACGCCTCCCAAACTTTCCCAAAAATCAAAACCGCAAACAAAATGCAATACTCCCCCGCCGCCGCCTCCGCCGATGACTTCCCCTTGGAACTCCACCTCCATCTCGCCGCCGGTGACCACGCCTCCTCGTACAACCCCAGCAATACCTCATCATCCCCGCCGTTGCATTGCGCCGCCGCCGTCGTCTCATCGCCACCGTCCACCTCCTCCTCCGAGCTGCATTTCTCCCGCCTCTCGACCTCCCCCAGTCGCCTCACCCGCCGCTCTCCGGACTCGATTGCGATCCCAGCCGTCGGATCGGCGATCCGACAGAATCGACGTCGGCCCTCATCAGCTCCCTCCCCCTCTTCTCTCCTCTCCTCGTCGACCGCAAAAAGGCCGATTGCGTCGCTGGACTGCTCCGTCTGCCCCTCTCTCCTTTCGGAGCGCCTCCGACGAGCTCCGCCTCCTCCCCTCCTGCCCGCCAACGCGTTCCACTCCACTGCATCGACCACGTGGCCCTCAGGTCCACCTCACGTGCCCGCCCGCCCCGCCACCTCTGCCGCTCCCCTGATCGCTCCGGTCCCCGCCCCGCAGCGCATCCTGCGCCGGAGTCCACGGTCGGCAGAGCTTCCGCGTCGAATCGGCCAGAGCTGTCAGCCGCAGGACGACGACTTCGCGCACGCGCTTCGCACGCGCGGCTTCGTATCACGCTCGGGTCCTCGTTCCGGCAGTACGTCGGATGGAGGACGAGCGAGATCGAGGCGGTCATCGCAAGGCGTTCGCCGGAGCGCGGTCGTCGGAGAAGGCCAGATCGTCGGGCGCCGGCGGGAAGGATGCCGTGGCGCCGAGATCGCCGGAGGCATCACCGGAGTGCTGCGGGACTACATGATCGCGCTGGGCGGTCATCCGCGTCGTCGTCGTTCTCCTCTCGCCCTCGGTTTCTCGCCAGGCGGTGTGAGCAGCCGGGTTCGCACTCCGCCGCCGTCGCGGCGGAGCCCGACGCGCGGCGAGAGCATGCCTCCCAAACTTTCCAAAAATCAAAACCGCAAACAAAATGCAATCTCCCCCGCCGCCGCCTCCGCCGATGACTTCCCCTTGGAATCCACCTCCATCTCGCCGCCGGTGACACACGCCTTCCTCGTACAACCCCAGCAATCCTCATCATCCCCGCCGTGATGCGCCGCCGCCGTCGTCTCATCGCCACCGTCCACCTCCTCCTCCGAGTGATTCTCCCGCTCTCGACCTCCCCCAGTTCGCCTCACCGCGCTCTCCGGACTCGATTCGATCCCAGCCGTCGGATCGGGATCGAAGGAATCGACGTCGGCCCTCATCAGCTCCCTCCCCCTCTTCTCTCCTCTCCTCGTCGACCGCAAAAAGGCCGATTGCGTCGCTGGACTGCTCCGTCTGCCCCTCTCTCGCTTCGGAGCGCTCCGACGAGCTCCGCCTCCTCCCCTCCTGCCGCCACGCGTTCCACTCCCACTGCATCGACACGTGGCTCAGCGTCCACCTCACGTGGCCCACCTCTGCCGCTCCCCGATCGCTCCGGTCCCCGCCCCGCAGCCGCATCCTGCGCCGGAGTCCACGGTCGGAGAGCTTCCGCGTCGAGATCGGCAGAGCGGTCAGCCGCAGGACCGACGACTCGGCACGCGCTTCGCACGCGCGGTCGTACACGCTCGGGTCCTCGTTCCGAGTACGTCGGATGGAGGACGAGGAGATCGAGGCGGTCATCGCAAGGGTTCGCCGGAGCGCGGTCGTCGGAGAAGGCAGATCGGTCGGGCGCGCGGGGGATGCCGTGGCGCGAGATCGCCGGAGGCAGTCACCGGAGTGGCTGCGGGACTACATTGATCGGCTGGGCGTCATCCGCGTCGTCGTCGTTCTCCTCTCGCTCCCGGTTCTCGCAGCGGTGGAGCAGCCGGGTTCGACTCCGCCGCCGTCGCCGGCGGAGCCGACGCGCGGCGAGAGCATGCGGATCTGGAGAGAGACCTGAACGTGCAGCTGGAGGAAGTGGACGGGGTGTTTTCGGCCATCTGCAGATGGATAGGGGCATAATCGTAAATGCGAAGTTTGACGTTGTGAGAAATTACCATGGATGCCATTGAGAGCTCGGAGTTCAGCGCAGCGAGGGAGCAAGGTTTTGCTTTGGGTACTTACTCCTATTACTCTTAACTCGCTGATACCGTGATTAGTTCAGTTGGTTTCTTTTATGTGATAAATAGTGTAAATGAGAGGGTAAATAATATTGACATGGTTATTAACAGGAGTTAGAATATGAAATTACTGGATATTCAATGTACCTTCTTTTACTGGATAGTTGATGCTCCGAGAACAGTATAACCCATCAGTATGAGCTTGATGCGCTCTGCGATCAACATCCTTACACGAAAGTGTTTCGTCACATCACTCGTCGTCAAATGGGTAAGGTTTACCGTATAGTTTTGTTGTGATCAGCTATTTGAATCTTGTTAAGTTGCCATGTCGGAGACTTGTCATGTGATTGTCGTGTTGATGAATGATAAAATATGTGAAATTGAAGACGGTCGGTGAAGGTACTTCGGTTGTCGAAGGGATCAAGGAGACGTTGGTTTCATTGGTAGTTGCATACCTGATTTTGCTTCCTAAAATGCACATATGAGCTCATTAAAGAATGAGGATGAGGTATCGAGGCCTAAGGCTTCTTGCACTGGAAATTTTTGTTGACCTACGAACCAATGAGTATGCCAATCAGCATCGCAGTTAATTGAGTAACAAGGATCAGAATAGACCACAATGAAAAAGACGTGATAGGTCAGAATGAACGGAGTAAAATGATTTACGGAGGTTTCAGATTACTAATTGCAGGTGATCCGGATGGACGGGAGGTTCCAATAAGACCCTCGCGGTCTTCGTTTTAATTCTGGTTTATTCACTACCAAATAATGACGCATCCTAGACGGAAAATTCCGTCTAGGATACCTAGAATTCCGTCTAGAATGTGTATCCTAGACGGAATTCCGTCTAGAATACGCGTCTAGTATGTTTCCGTCTAGGATGTAGTATTCTAGACGGAAATTCCGTCTAGAATACATTCTAGACGGATTATTCTAGACGGAATTCAAAACCGTCTAGAATACATCCTAGACGGATTATTCTAGACGGAAATTCCGTCTAGAATATTACATCCTAGACGGAAAAAAATTCCGTCTAGGATAAGTATCCTAGACGGAAATTTCCGTCTAGGATACTCATTCTAGACGGAATTTCCGTCAGGATGTTTTTTAATTTTTTTTCATAAAAACAAATATCCTAGACGGAATTTGAGCATCCTAGACGGAATTTCCGTCTAGGATGCTTTGCTACAGTGTTTTTTTTTTTTTTTTTTTTTTTTTTTTTTTTTTTAACAAATTTATGTTTTTTTTTTTTTTTTTTTTTTTTTTTTTTGTGTTTGAACATACTTTGTGTATTGAGTATAAAGTGAGCATTCATTATACAAAATTGGAACATACTTTAAACAAAAAATCAAAGATAATATTGTCACATACACAAAAAAGAATAACAAGTTTTCGAAATTGCTATTGATTCTACGAATACTAATTATCCTAGCTATTGTTATATACAGAGTAACACATTGAAACACAACAGGCACCAGGGGACTACCAAAGAAATGGGAACAGGAAGCTTAACACTTCTTTCCTAGACTAAAATTTTAATTCAACCTCTTTCAAAGGCCAATCAACAGCCCTTTGTGTGAAATAATCAAAGTATACCTATATGAAATGGGCAATACTGATTTGTACAATTTTCAGTACGTATCATCATTGCTGATTTAATATCAGCAAATGAAATTATTGTGGATTGTTGCTGCTTGAGCTAATTATTGCTTCTGTCATTTCATCACAGCCATTATCAGCGATCTCCATCTCTTTCACTTTCTCAAGCTGCCTCAACAGATCCAGCCTTCTTTTCCTTCTCCTTGAGAATTCCTTCTCCGTAAGAAGCATGAGAATTCCTATGGGAACAACTAATGCCATATCAGTAAGAGTTCTTCGGAGAGCCTTCTTTTCCTTCTCCGTGAGTTCATCACGAGTAAGAGCCCTTTTGAGTAATCCTGTCGCGACAGCAACATCTATGGCTAAGAGCTGAGTTCCTTGCCAAACATCCTGCAGTCAATTAGAATGAAAAAGAATAATCAAAACCTACAGTAGATAATAAAATGAAAAGCTAACTATAGTTGCCAAAAAAATACATGCAACCTGATATCAAGAATGAAAAAAGCATTAGAAATCCAGTATTCATATGTCAGCTTCCTGTTAGTGTCTGCATATATCTTACTCAAGTTAAAAGTTAGAGATGGAGATGAGGCTACCAAAGATCATCTTACTGCAGTGTGTAATTTTAAGAAACATATACAAAGATCTTCTACCCCGCATCAAAGAGTAACCACTAATTCTTGAACAAATGTGAATTGCTGACTATATTGACTATGAACCAAACATTCGCACACGAGGCACTTTTTAGGGATAGGATAAGCACAGGCAGTTCTTTTCTTATCCTCCATTGTCATAATCATCAAGGCATTTCTAAATTAACATGAACATTGCATGTTTCTCTTATATGCACGCTTCAAGGTATGTATACTTATTCGTAAGGTAGAGATGCCGCTATAACTCATCACAGACAACTAAATTGACAGATGAATTTCATTGAGCCTTAATTCGAAAGGTATAGAAAATCAGCTAAAAGGCGAAAGAAAAAGAACAAAATAGATCATACACAAAACAAATTACTTGATTTTTGAAGTACAGCAGTGTTAATAAAGCAGAATACATGTGGACAACTTACCAATCAACAGAAGTCAGATATCTCGGTTCTGATATACTAAATACATCCCTTTTAAGAGTCCACTGTGATGCTCTGTTCTGTTGATAACGCCATCGAAAGATGTGCTAGATCAAAAATGAAATAAAAAATTTAGAAAATTACAATGCAAAACCATCTAAACAAGAACAAATCATCGGAAAAACATAATTTAGTGAAAGATTATATCATATTTCCAAAAGGATACATATTTTCATGGACAATTTTATAATATCCCCATGTAAAAGAACCAATCAATAAAAAGTAGAACACCATCAAAACACATGAATGCACACTAATGCATTGAGATCCAAAATACACAGCAACAAAGCTCACCTATGAATCTATTTATTGATTGACGCCAGCACACAGGTGCAAATTTCCTTATGCTGCTTATGGGACCATTAATGCCAGTGCACAAATATATACAGCTGGAAAAAAATGAAGTAGAATTATGATATAACAGGAAACTTTAGAGGGCAGCAATTAACTAAAAAAGTTACTCGAATTAATATCCCTCATTCTTACATCATAGATGAGAAAAAGATGTGGACCAAGAGAACCCACTAACAGACAAATTTGATGGAAGCCAAATGTTTCTTTAAAGCCAAAAATGAAGCAAAATATTGAGAAGGATCATGCACCGAACGTTCAAGGGAAGAGGAAATAAAACAAAATCAAAGCCATTGTAAGAATTCAACCTTGCTGGTGCGAGTACAAGTGCCCATGTGTAGGAGAAGCCAACTTCCGCTCTGAACCCTGAACAAAAATAAAAAAACAATGGAGAACAAAAATTGATTAAAACTCTTCAATTCTCTCTCATGCTCCTACTTAGCCATTGTAAGCACAGAACAAATTCTCCCTTTACCCAAAAAAGGAAAGTGAGGAATGCCCCTAAATGAAGCTCTCAATGCACGAGAACAAGCAAGAGAACAATGAAGGACAAAATATCAGGCATCTATCACTCGCACAGAATACAAACCAAATGAAGCGTTCGTCAATCTGACGAGGAGGAAGAAGGACTCGATGTCGGACTGGCGGGTGAGGTCGAGCACCGAGTGGGAGGCGACGATGAGGTCGGTGAAGCCTAGGGTTTTGAGGCGGCGGTAGATGGCGGATCCGACGAGGCCCCGGTGGCTGGCGATGAAAATCTTGGCCGACTTGTCGGAGAGGAAGGACGAGGGGGAATCGTTACTGCGCAGAGAAAGAGAGGGGGAGGGAAAAAGAATTAGAAAGAGAATTAGGGGGGAAGGGTTTCTGAATATTTCGATTTTGGGCGGAAAATTTTTGGGGGAAACTTCCGATTTGGGTGGGAAAACTGGATTAAATATTTTTAATGAGTCAAAGTATCCTAGACGGGAATTTTCCGTCTAGGATACATCCTAGACGGAAAATTCCGTCTAGGATAGTTGGCTATTTTAAAAAAAAAAATTATAAAACAACCGTCTAGGATACTATTCTAGACGGAAATTTTCGTCTAGAATATTTTATCCTAGACGGAATATTCTAGACGGAAATTTTCCATCTAGTTTAATAGCAAACTAGACGGAAAATTTTCCGTCTAGAATATTCCGTCTAGAATACGCGATTTTCTACTAGTGATTTAATAAAAAAACTAAAGGTAACAGACTGAAGCTTCCCATTTTTGGAGCAACTCTAATACGGCAGAAGACTATATGGTCAAAATATTGCCCACATAAAGAAATGTAAAGGAGGTAGTGGGCTGACAAAATGAGGTCTGCAACTGTAAGGTGGTCCTCTGTAGCTTCCCTGCAAAGTTAAACGGCTGCTGTGAGTCATTATAACCGAATGCAATTTCAAGAATAGAGTGAAGATTTAGCTGATTACGACCGACTCTTATAAGTTGAGGGTGATATGATTGATGCAAAGGCTTAGCAAGAGTATTTTAGGAAAAGCTGGGACCAACTTTTGATCTCACTACTTGCGTCACCAAAAGATTGCTCCTAATTTGGTTTGGGGGGTGTTTGTTTCACCAAAAATTTTGGCATTCGGTATGGATTATAAGTTTTAGAATCAAAAAGTGAGTTTTTTTTTTTTTGAGATTCCATATATGGTGTTTGTTTTAAGAAAAATTTTAGAATATTGAATCCCAAAAGTGCAAAAAGTACCTAATTTTTAGAATTTGTCAAATCCTCTCAATTGGAGAGGATTTTGACAGATCGCATAAATGGTTGGCAAACTATACAAGAATTGTGCTAAACCAATTTTCTTTTGGACCAACTCCCCAGTTCAAAAGAAAACTAACTTAAGACCATATTTTGGCTTATGAAAGCAGGGCCAAATTTGAACCTAACCTAATTTTGAAAGATTGCCAAACACACCCTAAGAATTACACATAAAAAATGTGCCCAAACTTGCAGCAATTTTTACTGTGATTCAGGAAGATTACACATAAAACAATGTGCCCAAACTTGCAGTAACATTACACATCAATCATGCGCAAACACACACCGCAGTTTCTCAGATCAGCATTCAGCATTCGATCAATTTGTGTTCGATAGTGATCTCTCAATCCCGCGGACTGGTGAAAACTGCTTTTCTGCTAGGTCGAGGAAAAAAGACGGGGAATGTAGCATACTTTTTACTAGTGCCTTCTACATGATAGCTTCTAAAATAATATCATAAACTGATGGCCAACAAAAAATCAGAATAAGACCCCCCCCCCCGACGATAAAAACAGCTACAAACATCAACAACAGTCAACAAAGCAACACTCTTCAAGCCATACTTTGAAGGTCAGAAACAACAAGACAATAACTTTTCTCTTGTTATAAATTTAAAGTAAGAAAGGCATGCAGAGACTACAAAAGGGGTCATCCACTAGACCTAAAAAGGAAAAGAAATGAAAAGAAAAGGAAGACCTCTCACTACCAAAGTGCAAGTCCCAGATTCTTTGCGTGGAAGATCCATTTCTGCTCTAGAGAGCGCCATAGTGTGGAAATTTCGACCTTGTAATGTATTATGTCGGCGAAACGGAAATTGGATAGAGCTCTGGATTTCTGGTACACGGACAGATGTGTACCTCGAGGAAATCTTAACGTGATCGGCGAAAGCTGTGATCATGAAACTACTGTATCTTGTGGTGTGATAGTTGCTTTCTTAGCTTCCTGTCGTGATTCAGCATGGTGCTCACGCTCTCGACGATCAATACAGTCTGCAAAACAAAACCAGAAATCAAAAAATAAATAATAATTATTATTATAATTATAATTATTATAATAGTGCTGATGATAAATCGTGCTCGGAAGAAGATTAAGATTGCATAGCATCATTTACACCTGCCAACAATTTCTATATCATTTTAACAGCATTTTTCTGTTTCTCGTTCGCTTATGACGGTCATGGATGCAGAATAATAAGGTGCTTAATTCCATTGTCTGTTTTGATTAAAGGGGAAAAAAAATCCTAGTCAGAGTCCAACTGTGAGAACATGCCTTTTACGAACTTCATGTTCCTCCTATGCCTCCTTCAGTTTATTCAATCGGAGCTAATGATTTTAGAAATATTTGATTTACATGTAATCCACGGATTAAAAAAATTCATACTCAACATACATAATACTAATCAGAAACTTGATATTTCACTCGTAAATTTTACGACAAAAGAAAGAACGATACCTGCAAGCAAGCATATCCAAGACCGGTGGCAAAGTAGAAGTTTGCATTGCCAGTTCCCTGTGCGTACAAACACATTAGTTATGAGCAGCAACTTTCAAGAATCATGCATGCATACATGAACTATTTCTTATTCCACCTTTGACTTACATATACCCTTTCCCCTTGAGTAAGAATGCAACAAATTAAGCAAATATATTGTGAAATACGCGAATCTTGAATCACAAGAATTAGAATATTATCTCGTATCTGATGATATAACCAGACATCCATGCATACATCATGCAGGCGAGCGTGCTCATGCATAGAGTACAGCTATTCAAGTCTTTTGAGTAAGATAGCAGGAAAACCAAACATATGTTGCTATTTTTTGTAAAATTGGATCAAACAAGGTTTTGAATCTTCTCTTGTTTTCCAATGATATGACAAGGAACTTATAAATGATTGACAAGAAACCAGGTATGTCCAAATGCATGCATACCTTACATACTTATACAGAGTACTCTACTACCTATTTGCTTTTAAGATTGTGAAAACTGAAAAAGGCTAAGCCGGTTTGCAATGTATGCAGTTCTTGGGTAACAAAAAACCTTAGACTCTGCTCCAACATTCAAGGATAAAACCACAAATGACAAATATATGAATGCATAAGAGAAAGATAGATAGATACCCTCCAAATCCATAGATTGTGCATTACAGGGCTAAGGAGAGAGACTCCAACATATCCACAAAATAGGAAGAAAGGGAAGTGCATCTCTGCAGTTAACAGCAAATCAATATATGATCCAAAAAGGAATAAGAGACCACTAATAGTTTATCCTAGTGTTACCTGCTAACTCATTTGCAAAAAGGCCCAAAAGACGAATAAGAGACCACTAATAGTTTATCCTAGTGTTACCTGCTAACTCATTTGCAAAAAGGCCCAAAAGACCCAAGTATAGAGCTGAATCACCAACCTTTAAAACACAGACAATAGCAAAAATGTAAGAATGTAGCTGGTTTGGAAAAGTAAAACCGGATATTAAAAAAACAATGTCTCCATGTGCCATCAAATATGTATAATATAAATGATATGGCCCGTGCAATATTTCAAAGTATGGAGCAAAGAACAAACAAGGAGAAATGATAAAAGCCTGAAAGACAGAAAATGCAATTAAGAACTACATATAAGATATTAACAAAACAGGTGCAATGACTATATTTCCAGTAACCCAAATGACACCACGCCTCTATGCATTGATCTTCTACCAGGGAACTGTTTCATATTGGACACGTTTGATTCTGATGCTGGTAGGTTCTTACCACATATCTACTGTAAGAATGCAACATGTTTCTAGTTTCCTATAAGGTATAGATCAGTTCACAATCTAATACAAAACTAATCCTTAATTCAATTTCATATCCAACTTGTGCTTGGAACGCACTGAAAACTTAAGACCAAAATTAACTTGTCGCATCAAACATGACACATCATTTCATATCATGCCGTTTATTTTATCATATGATACAAGAGGCGTATAATCGCATCAAACATGACACATCATTTCATATCATGCCGTTTATTTTATCATATGATACAAGAGGCGTATAACACAATATTGGAAATTTATAATATTACCGTCATGCCGTTTATTTTATCATATGATACAAGAGGCGTATAACACAATATTGGAAATTTATAATATTACCGCATGAGTTGTACCTTTTCTGCCTTAATTGAATTGTATTCCATGATATAAATTGTGTATTATATGTAACAACTATGCTCATAAGTATTTCTTCATGAAAATTATAAAAGATACTATACGCAAGAGGTAACAAGCTAAATATAAGTCAAAGGTCAGATGGAAACTTCACAATGTGAAAGAATTAAATATTTGTAAGTATGCATTTAGCATCACATGCAGTTTCAAGGTATATCTCGTGAAGCAAAAATTACTTACTGATGGATAAGATTTTAGCATTGAAGCGAGCGCCATAAACACAAAGGCTAGAAAGCATGGTCGATGATTCAAGCGTATGGCCAACGGCAAAATCATGAAGAGTATATTTAAATGGAAAACTATCAAAAAGAAACTCCTGAAAAAGTCGAAGACTTCAGCAAAGAAGTACCTGCATTTGGTGAATACAAATGTAAGCATGATAAGGGAAAAGGAAAGCTATAGTATCATACAGATCCCAGTGTTCTTTATGCTTACCATAAGAGACCTATATTTGGTGATAGATCTTCGACTGTAAGAATAAATCCATGTGTTCTATTAGCCCCAAAATAAAATTTAAAAAAAACTTGTAAGAGTTGGTCTATAGAAGTCAGAGATACTAGATCGCAAAGAAAAAAAGCAGAAAAAAATACAGAAGAACTGGCAAGTTTAATAACTTCCAGAAAAGGAAACAGAATACAAAGATTACTTAGACCATGTGTGATTGTCATTACTCAGAACAACCACCGTCTCACTAATATATATTTATTTAGATCTTGCTGATTCCGACAGTTTGAAATGAAGGCTTGTTGTTCTTGACCCTACCATAGAATTCAGATAGCTGTTTTTCTTTTTTTCTTTTTTACTCTCATAATTTAACTATGGGATTTCTCAAGAACTTCTCTAGCAGCCTCCTAAGTATTAACACCTAACATTATCTGGTAGCTGCCAAATAAATCTGATGTCAT